CTGTTGGAAAGTTTACCAAACAGTCGCTCAAGGAGAGTGATGCCACTTGTATTTCTTGAGCCTTAATTAGAAAAAATAAAATACTAATAAGACATTGGTGGTTAAAGTGCAGTTTTACCAGTATGTTCCTAGTAATTTATATGTTCTATACTTCAACAGGATTTTTTTTTGCATATCAGCACCATTAATATTCCTAGTCAGAAATAGCAAATAAGAATATCTAGCCCTCTTAATAAAGATGGACAACATCAAGTGAATTAAGCTATAAAAACTAGTTAACTCCTTTTCCTTATTAGTGATTTCATTTAACAATTTTTTCACCTATATTGTGATATACTCATTACACTCTTTGAGAAACTGATCACTTAGCCACGTGTCAAAGGAAAGTTTTAAAAACCGATGGCTAAAAAAATTACTGCATAAGAGTAACCTAATAGCGTTGGGGTATAACTTCTTTTTTTTTTTTTTTTTTTAACTGTGAGCATATGGTAGATTTTAGTTTTATTTAGCCAAAGGGCCTTACAGATTAATCTGTATATTTATAATTAATGTGAGAAGATTAGTATTTCACACACAGGGTGAATCCTGAAAGTTTGTTTAGCTTATATAGGTAGGCAACACTTATCGTACCACCGTTAGCTTGCCATAATTACTTCTCAAAACTAAAACCCCAAGACAAAAATTTCCTCAAGGGGACGTTACTATTTAACAATGGAACATTTTCATGCAGCTTAAAAACGTGATCTTTACACTTTTGTTTTGGATGTCTTTGATGATTTAATATAAAACATTAAAATGATTTCCTTCTAGAGATCTATGATTTGTCAGACTTTTTGCTTTGACAAGCTTACCAATACCTTCTTTCCTAGTTCACAATGAATCCATCTTTTGAACCCCATTTTCCTATTTAATCAAGTGCATTTGACAGAAAAGTTGTTTCTTGGGAAGAAACACCTTTTAACTTGAGTTAAAAAATTTTAACTTGAGAAAAATTTGGATATAAACAATGTCAGTACAATGGGGGATTCCCAGGAATGTGTACATTGTAAGTAACTTGAGTGAGTAGCCTGGGAAAGTTTTACCTGTAGCCTAAATTTATGTAAACCTAATGAAATTCCTTAATATTTCAAAACAGAGCATTCAGTTTCTTATGATTATCAATAGATCAGTGTTTGCTTGTGAGCAGTGTTATTTATACACTTCTTATAACCCTGAAAATATCTTTATTCTAAAAATTAAGAATGAGCTTTTGACTTTACTCGTTCAGATAAGTTGATTTTGATGTCAGAATCCTGAACCAAATGTTGTTCTCAAGATTTGGTAGACACATTTAAAACTCAGTTTCTGCAGTAGGGAATGAAGTTGACAGCCCACGTATGTGGGCTTTAATACATCTAGAGATGTTGTTATGAAACCACATAGGTAGCATGCATAGCACTGCCCAGCAAGCTGAAGCAAAGAATTTTTACGGTGCCAAATGCCACATGCCTGCCTCAGTCAAAGACTGGGAATAGTGATTGTGCTATAAATCCAGAAGCCTGGATCCAGGTCTGTAAAATGGGAGGCCAGGATCAAAGGGACAGGTTATGTTCTCATATTGCCTTTCCCTCAGACAGTAAACTAACAAGCGAACTGGTTGATGGACTAGTAAGAAATTATGATTGTCAAATTGGTAACAAACAAAAGTTTGCATTACGTTAATGTTTGTGTTGTTTACTTTTTAGGCTGTACACCAAGGGGGAGGGGAGGGCTCTGCTGTGGTAAGTGGGATCTTACTGTAAACTGGTAAGTGTCCACTTAAATACAAATACTGTAACCACATCGGTTCTGTCCAGATTGTGAATACCTACAGAATATTGTTCCATCCTGAGTAACTTGGGCAAGTACTTCTGTTTGGTCTCATATCCTTGTGTGAAGCTGGTACCATGATTTTTTTACCCCATCTTTTTATTTGGTTTCTTAAATAAAGATGTGTGTCCAAGAGTGTGGAGTCTTGTAAGCGCTACTTACCCTGCCACTGCTACTGTTTTGGTCCTCTTTCCCCTAGTGAAAGTTTACAAACTATCTTACCCATTTTATAGAACTCAGATTGCCTCAAACTAGGTGCCATAGCTGTGGGAGCAGAAAGAGGTACTCCCCTGGAAATGCGGAAGTGTGGTCTGCAGTCCTCACCAGAGAGACCCCATCAGAGACGGAGACAGAGAATGGTGACTTGCTGTGTGTAGTTTGCCCCACCCTTAATTAGCAAATAATGCGGGGAACTGCCACAACGCCTTTTCAGCAGGGGGTTGTAGAGCACTTTGTACACCATGGTCCTTTCCTCCATGCTGTGAGGCTGAGATGGGGACAAGGAGCAGAAGCCCTGTGGGAGAGGGTTACTGTAGTCCGGTGTCAGATTGTGTGTGTGGCTGTGTCTTTGAAGGAGCTCAAGAGCAACTGTAGCCACAAGCGTGGGAGCAGATGCTACCTCAGGTGTGAGCTGCACTAGGAAAGCACGTGGGCCACAAATGGAGAAAAGCAGTGCTGGGCATGTGGATAAGCCAGAACCAGGACTGGGTCACGGGGAAGACCAGTGGCTGATAGGAAAGCTGAAGAGCCAGCAAAACTTAGATGTGGTAGTAGGTGATGTCACTGAAGGTTCAGGAAGACAAGAGCAATGGGATGACAAGAGCATGCTAGGCACTCCACTGAGCAGAACTATGTCAGGAGTAGACCTATAATCTATGTTAATGCCCCAAAGAAAACACACAAGTCTGATGTTCTCTATGTAAACACCTACACGTATATATGAGTATTATGGGTTGAATTGTGTCCCCCTCAAAATACATGTGTTGTGACAGAAATCCCTCAGAATGTGACCATATTTGGAGACGGGTGATTAAAGAGGCAATTAAGTTAAAATTAAAATGAGCCCATTAGGGTGGGCCCTAAATCCAATCTGACTGGGGTCCTTGTAAGAGGAGGAAACTTGGACAGAGAGACATGGGGTAGGGGGGGAAGGGTACTGAGCACAGAGGAAGGTTATCTGTAAACCAGAGACTCTAGGAGAAACTAAACCTACCAATACCATGATCTTGCACTTGACGCTCCCAGAACTGTGAGAAAAATTCCCATTGTTTAGGCCACCCCGGATGCATTTTGTTATGGCAGCCCCAGCAAACGAATACAATATGCTTATATACTAAGTATCAAGCTTGATACCCAAGAAACTGACACATGCCACCTCCAAGGACAGGAACTGGGTGGTGGCAACGTTAGAGATTTTTGTCCCATATGCTTTGTGATTTTGAAACCATTATGCCTTATGATTTTGAAACATGTGACTCATCTATTCAAAAAATGAACAAGGGGTCCGTGATGGGCTTAGTTGGTAGAGCATGTGACTCTTGATCTTGGGGTTCCAAGTTCAAGACCCACATTGGGTGTACAGATCACTTAAAAATAAAATCTTTTTAAAAATGAAGAAAAAACTGGGGCGCCTGGGTGGCGCAGTCGGTTAAGCGTCCGACTTCATCCAGGTCACGATCTCGCGGTCCGTGGGTTCGAGCCCCGCGTCGGGCTCTGGGCTGATGGCTCAGAGCCTGGAGCCTGTTTCCGATTCTGTGTCTCCCTCTCTCTCTGCCCCTCCCCCGTTCATGCTCTGTCTCTCTCTGTCCCACAAATAAATAAAAACGTTGAAAAAAAATTTAAAAAAAAAATGAAGAAAAAACTTACTCCTAATACCCACTGTTGAACAAGGTATGTGAAACTGGCACTTTTATATGCTGCTACTAGATATCCATCAATAGAGAACGGCTTGAATAAACTGTTAAATATCTGTGCAGCTGATAAATGACCTAGATATACTATAATGGAAATATGTCCACATATATTGAGAGAAAGCAGCAAATCACAAAACCATGGGTTTTAACTGAGAAAAAAAGCAAATCCCCTAGACAAAAAACAAAAGGAAGAATATATCATATACAGTAATTTGTTGATGGTGGATTTCTTTTTTTTTTTTTTTTTTTTTTTCTTTCCTGTTTTTTATGGAGGATTAATTTTGGGAGGGGGGGAATTTTTTTTTAAGAGCATCTTTTTTTTTTTTTTTAAATGTTTATTTGTTTTTGAGAGAGGAAGAGTGTGAGCAGGGGAGGGACAGAAAGAGAATGGGATACAGAATCCAAAGCGGGCTCCAGGGTACGAGCTGTCAGCACAGAGGCCAACGTCGGGTTCGAACTCATGAGCGATGAATTCATGATCTGAGCCTAAATCAGGGCGCTTAACAGACTGGGCCATCTAGGAACCAGGGGTGAGGGTGGGGGAGCATTTAATGGAGAGGTTAATGGAGAGCATTTAATGGAGAGATTTAATCCTCTCAAATTCAAAATCTTAAAATGTTTTGCTTAGAGCCAATTTGTTAGGAAATTAGACTTTCAAAAGCTTAGCTTACTGAATGATGATGGTAACGCTTTTTCAGTGGCTCCCAATGAGTAGCGCACGACAGCCCTGCCCAGGCAGGTCCCCTGATGACCCCCAGCGGGTGGAGTTGGCCTCCGGAGGACGGCAGAGGCACAAACGGCGCAGCATGTGAACTTTATCCACGGAAGACTGCGAGCCGCTCGGTCAGTAAGTCCGAGGATGAGAAAATCTCCTTGAGAGCAAATCCCTACACAACGTTCAATGATGGAGAAGGCGCTAAATACGCGACCAAACAAAAGATGTCTTCATTTACCCTCACACAAAGGACAAAGAAGCCTTAGGATTTCCTCCAAGAGTGACAAAGTGCGCTTCTGTGTTGGGGTGGGGTTGGGGGCACACAAGTGGCACGCAAATGACGAGTGGTTGGTTACCAATGAGCCCGACTGTGATGTGGAGAAGCAACATGTGAAACACTTAACCATTACTGCGCTACATGTTAACTGACTTGGATTTAAATAAAATTTAAAAAATAATAAAAATATGAACACCTCAGTGATTTTAAAGAGAATGAAGAAGTCATGAAATAACTGCAACACAAATGCATTTGATTTTCACCTTTAATACTGAACATTATTGCTTTAGGGAATATTTCTCCCTCAACCAGGAATTGACTGCTAATTACATAAAATATACACATAAAAAAAGTAGTTCTCCATTTTCCCAGGGGGGAAAAAAAACACACCAGTAACTTCTAGAATATTCAAGTGTTTTGTTTTCATCATAATTAAAGTCTCGATCATCTCATTTATTAGCTCTGTAACTTACGTATTTAAATTAAACGTTATTAGACAACCATTACCAATTACAAGTGTCAGGTGCCACTACCGAGTAAATTGATTCTTCCAGGAGTGGATGGATCGATCCCTCCTCCCACCCGCTAACGAGGCAGCAACATGGTTACTTTAATTTTGTAAGTGGATGGTCCGTTGCTGCAAACGCTAATTCTCGTCCCCAGCCCGTGTTTTCGTGTACGTGCGGGAGTTGGTTACACCGCACGGGCGACCTCCCGAACGATCAACAGCAGGACGAGCTAGGCTTGGGCTTGCGGTGCAGACTGACGGTGTCGGTCTGGATCAGGTGGTCTGACCTATCCTCGGTAGCAAGCACTCTTCGAACTGCTTCCTCAAAGGCTGCCGCGACATTCGTGGCATCTTTTGCACTTGTTTCAAAGTAAGGATAGTCGCCGTTGTCCTTGCACCAGGCTTGGGCTTCCTCGGTGGACACCTGCCGTTCGCTTATGTCAATCTTGTTACCCAAAATCACAAAAGGAAAGCTTTCGGGCTCTTTCACGTCTGCGTAGTAGATGAATTCTTTCTTCCAGTTACTCAAGTTCTGGAAGCTTTGAGAATCATCGACACTAAAAGTGAGCAGGCAACAGTCAGAACCTCGGTAAAACGGCGTCCTCAGGCTTCTGAATCGCTCTTGACCGGCCGTGTCCCAAATCTGCATGGTAACAAAATGTCCATCCACTTCCAAATCTTTATTTAAAAATTCCACGCCTATTGTATGGAAGAGCTGGGTATCAAATTTATTGGTCACATATCTGCTCATCAGAGAGCTCTTCCCAACTGCACCATCTCCAAGGAGAATCACTTTAAAAAGCGACGATTTTCCTGCCATTATGACTCTCAAGATCTTTGACTTTAGAACCCTGTAAAATAAAAAGGCACCATTACATTCCTTCCGACCCGCACGTTGCCACGCAGGAGCGGACAGATGTCCCCGCGAGGGAAACAGAACGCAGAGTCCCCACTCCTTTCTGCACAGAAAGTCATCGGGTAGCAAGAGCGGTCACTACTGAGCGCTCAAGCGCGTACCAGGCACAGCCCTACTGATGCTCCCTACTGGCGGTGAGGACTCGTTCTCCCCCAGCCCCTTAGGTCACAGCTGACCGAGGCGGGCACTCGAAGCCAATGGCCACCCCGAAGACCTTGCTCTCAACCATTCCCCACTCCTCACTTTAAGCCCTGCCACCACGTGTTAGATGCAGGAGAGGGAAGCAGGCAGGTGTCTGTAACAATTTCAAACACCCCTTTGCTGGCACAGTGACAGTTTTGCTGATGACTTTCATCTTGTGCCAGGGGTTTCCTCAATAACCTCTCCTTTCTCTCTTCTACTGCTATAACCATCGGAACTGGTAATCAGGAAACCAGAGACAGAAGCAGATGATGCTGCTGTGAACAAAAATAAGCCAATGACTGAGTAAATGGACTCCGCTGTCTTCATTGGGAATGCTAAAATTGTCAGCAGGAGTTTTTTTTTTTTTAAGTTTTTTTATTTTGAGAGAGATAGAGACATTGCAAGTTGGGGAAGGGCGGGGGGGGGGGGAGGGGGTGAGAGAGAGAGTATCCCATGTAGGCTCCTCCTTGCCAGCCAAGAGCCTGACACCGGGCTCGAACTCATGAAATTGTAAGATCATGACCTGAGTCGAAACCAAGAGTTGGACCCTTAATGACTGAGCCACTCAGGTGCCAGCAGCAATGGAATTTTTTTTTTGTAGACAGAGAGAGAGAGAGAGAGAGAGACAGAGACAGAGACAGAGACAGAGACAGAGATAGAGACAGAGATAGAGAGAGAGAGAGAACTTCATATGAGCAGGGAATAGGTCAAGCTGACTGGGGCCCCAGATCACCCCAGCGCGGGGCAGGGGGAGGGTTGCACAAGGACACACAACTGCCAGAGTCCAGCTCCAGCAGGTCCAGGGGTTCCTGAAGGATGAATGGCGTCGGGGAAAAAGTGAAAAAAAAAACTAAAAATAAAACAAAAATTAAAATGAACATAGACAACAGCAGTGTGTTGAACTGCCTGCTTTATTGTGGCAAACATGGCATTATATATTTGTTAGCAATTTCCTTGTAGTGTACATCATCTATGTTTTCTGGCATTACCTAATTCCAAAAATGTTCCTATGTGTAATCACCCTTTAAGGAAAAACATGGTTTTTTTCTCATAACATTCCCTCCTGCCCTCTGCTTATTGATTAATTTCTTACATTATTTTCATTATGTATCTATGTTTACCTATAATCTATAAATCATTTGCTTTGCTGTTTTCATGAAAGGTCACCTATCTCTCAACACCTGAAGTGGAACAGTTACAGGGACATGACCTCTTAGTTGTTTCTCTGAACGACTTGTGGCTTGAGAACAAAAGTGCTTGCCTCAGTTGGAGGTGCCAGGAGAGGGCCAAGAGGGCCTTAGGAACCCATGCCTTATGCATTCTTAGACAATGCACCTAGGAACTAATGAACCATTCTGTACCTTAAACAACTAGGTTCAATCATCATCTGGAATACCTCCTGGAGGCCAAGTGGGCCCAGGGGTTGGAGTAACTTGTGCCCATAGATACAATCCTTACTTACCAGAGTGGGGCTTTCAAATCCATTTGTTCCTTCCTTGGCTGAGAAATATATGAAGATATCCTTCCATTACGTAGAGGAGCCTTTATAGGGGGTGACAAGAGCTAAATGTAGGGCTGCACAATTTTCTTGTGGAACCTTATTTTCTTTCCCCAACAGTTCTTTCCCACAGGGCCTGTCATGGGCAATTTCCCAAATGACAAATCCCCAGGTACTTTCACTGGTAGGGAGCCTGCCCTAACCAATGCTAAGGCCAAATTACCTAAAAGTGGGAGTACAAGAAGCTTCACTGTTGGTGGGCTGCCCTGCAGTCACCAATCCGTCCACCGCCTGGGCCCTGCCATCAGGCTGGTTGGATAGCTCAGATGCTGGCACACAATGGTTGGCACGAACTCACCCAGAGCTTCAGAGGCATTCACTAGAAGTGGGGCACCAGCCATGTGGATCAGGACTTGAGTTCCCCCTGGTGTGGGGCAAGGTCTCACTGAGAAGGGAAGAGAGGGGCACGGGGTTAGCTGGAGTGGGCTTACCGATCCCCTGGAGCAGGGCTTGAACTCACCAGGAGCAGGACTCCATGTCCTTTGGAACAGGACTTGAGCTACCTGCAGAGGGACACGAGGTCACAGGAAGCGGCACTTGAAGGTCCCTGCAGCAGAGCACAGAATCATAAAGAGAGGGGCCCTTGGTAATGTGAAGAAGACTCAAGCTCACTTGCAGGGCACCTGGAGCTCACCTGGACAGTGGCTCTAGCTCACACAGAAAGGGACACGTGCTCAGCAGAAGTGGGGCTGGGGCAAAACCCGAGTGGGGTCTGAGGCCACATACAGAGTGAGACAAGCTCACCAAGACAGAGTCTTGAGATCACCTGGCATGAGGTCACCCAGAGCATAACACAGGCTCATCAAAACTGGGCTCACACTCACCTGGGGATGGCTACCTCTCACTCTCAGAAAGGCTTTAGTACACCCAAAGTGTGGCATGAGCTCACCAGGTGTGGGGGTCAAGGTCACCCAGAGCAGGGAAGAAGGCATATCAAGCAGGGCTCATTTCAACTGGAGACAGGCACAAGGTCACCCAGAACATGGGCTGAACTCAAGCATGGCTCGAGTGCACCTGGAGTGAAGCACGAGGTCATGTGGAGCTAAAAACAAGTTCACTGGGAGTGGGATTCAAGGTCACCCCAAACTAGGCTTTGCTCAACTGCAGTGGGACACAAGATCATTCATTAGGAGCTGAGCTAGAGATCACCTAGTATTGGTCTGGAGGTTCTGCTGAGTGGGGCACAAGGTCACACAGAAGAGGGCACGTGCTCACGAGAAGTGGGACTGGTGCAAAATCTGAGCAGGGCCTGAGGTCACCTGGAGCAAGACAAACACACCAGAGAAGTTCTCGTGCTCAACTGGAGAGGGGCTCCAGGTCACTGGGAAAAGTATCCATGCTTAAGCAAAAAGGGGCTTGAGATTGCCCAGAGTGGAGCATGTTGACACCCCGAGCGGGGCTGGTGCTCACCTGGAGTGGAGCATGAACTCACCCTAAGTGGAGCTCATGGCCACCCAGAGGGTGATATGAGGTCACACGGAGCACGGTCTGTATTTAGCCGGAGGGCTGCTGGAGCTCACTCAGAATGGGGATTGAGCTCATCCAGAGCAGGACTCAAGCCCACCAGGAGCAGGACTCATGCCCACTGGGAGCAGGACTTGAGCTCAAAAGACAATGAATCAAAGGACATGAGTTCAAACATACCAGGGCATGAGGTCACCTGAACCAGGGCTCATATTTAGCTTTTGTAGGCCCACTCTAACTCAGTGTGGGGCTCATGCCCACCCATAACTGGGCTTGTGCTTACCCTGAGAGGGGTTTGTGCTCACCCTGAGCAGGCCACAAGTTTAACTGGACCAGGATAGAAGTCACCCAGAGCAGGTTTATCGGTGACCCAGAGCAGGGCACAAGGTCACACAATGTAGGGCATGACGTCACATGACTCAACCGGAGTAGAGCAGAAACTTACCTTAATGGAGTCTGAGCTCATACAGAGCAGGTTATGAGCTCACCTGAATTAGGACACAAGCCCATTAGATATGGGACTTCAGTTATTTGGAATAGTGCTTCAGCTCACCTGGAGCTGGGCTTGAGGTCACCTAGAGCAGGGCACAAGGTCACTGAGAACAGGACAGGAACTTACCTGCAGCAGAACTTGTGTTCACCCAGAGCGGGGCTCGAGGTCACTAGGAGCAGGGCACGAGGTCACATGCAGCAGGGCACAAGATCACATAGAGCAGGGCTTGTGTTTACCAGGAGTGAGCTAGAGATCATTCAGAGCAAGACTGAAGCTCACCCCAGATCAGGGCTCGAGTTCACCCAGAGCAGGTTTGAAGTCACCCAGAGTGTAGCTCAAGGGCTGGTACTCACACAGAGCAGGCTCATGCTAACCTGGAGCAGGGTTCATGCTCACGCAAAGTGGGAATAGACCTCATCCAATGAGGGACTCAAACTCACAAACCGTGAGATCATACCTGAGTCAAAGTCAGATGCTTGAACAATCGAGGCATCCAGGTGCCTGAGATTTCATATTAAAAGTATCAATTTCTAAAAAAATTTTCCTAGTCCAAATCATTAAAATTCCATTCTAAAGAATCTCAACTCTAAAAAGTACCATATGAGTTGTCTTCCCTTCTCTCTTGGTAAATACGAAGAGGTGGCATTTAGCAGACATTAATGCCAAGTACTTAATCTTTGAAAACCCTAGAATGTTTACATTTGATATCTTACCTTACGTAGATTTTAGTTATATACGTCTGATATCTGAGACAAAAATACAGATTTACTAATCTTGTCCCTTACATTTCCTTTCGCATATCTTCAGCTGAAAATTCAAGAGTGGTAATTTCAGTTTATTAACAGCAACAAAAATGAAAACTGAAAAAAATGTTTATTACTCAGAGTTGGTATATAAATGATTTTTAATGTAGTAGTGTTTAAAGTCACTGTTCTTAAAATGACTTAGTTGGTGAAATGTTATCAATTATGAAAAAATAAAATATAATTAAAAAATAGATATACTCTATCTCTAAATTCAACCATTGTGCATATCTTGCTGTCTCTGGGTTAACTCAATGTATAACTATATAATTATTGTGTGCAGAGTCTTTAGAAAATTCCTAAATTGTTATATAGAGACAACACCTTGTCTCTTAAGATTAAGGTTACTTTCCCATATGTGCAAAAGACAGCTCCTCAGGATATATAATTTTCACAAAGAGAGTTCTCCAGCGAAGGAACATTTTGTGTAACGTTCTATATGTGTTTTACACAAACAGTTACAGATCATCATGATGAAAGACATTCCAGAAAGTTACAGACTTTATCTTAAGCTTTTACTATGTGCAAGCCTGTATGGCTTTAGTTTCATAGGAATTTAGGGAGGTTTATTTCATGTTTGAAAAAACATTTTTTTTTTTTTTTAGGTTATTTGTCCATGAGGCAGATGTATAATTTATACTCGACGCAGAAACAAAGCCCATGCTTTGAAGTTTGGCCAAGTCATTCTGAACATGGTAAATGTTGAAGTATGGATTCGTTGAGAGCCCATGAACAGGGCCCACAATCATTAAAAGTTGGAGATTTTATTTATTAGCCTTCATCATCTAAATTCTCAGAAAATACAGTTAAAATATAATGTTGTTATTCATTTGGATAAATGTCTTAAATTTTCATCTACCATCTTATAGACAAACTTTGACTTCTCTACTTCTTATATATTTGCTAGAAATCTAAGTAAGCCTCATCAAA